TTGGAATGGCAATTGTGGTTAGCATGGAGATAAGCGTTATGACTCATTTTGCATGACGTCAAACATTATTTCGGTGGGAGGAGCTAAAATTATCATCAATATTATTTTGCTAGTTGTCCGGGAGTGGTGAAGGGATTTGGAAACTCAGGGCTGAACAGAGAGGTTCTCTCAATATATTGGAAGTCCGGATCAGAAAAAGTATTAGAGTTAAGAATTGATCAGAAAATAAGGCTCTTTGATGCATCCCTTAGGTATGTGTTGTATATAAGTAAGTCAGGCTACAAGAAACTATCTGAAGACCTTGTGTGTATATTTATGAAAACTTCCATCAAAAATAAATACACTTGAGCAACCAAGCTGACTTGTACTTTTGTGCTACACCAACCCCAGAATCACAGAGTGGTTGATAGGAACACGTGACCAGGGTAGAAGAGTACCCGACTCCTAAGGTTACATACGACCTCTCCAAAGTACTGGCGTGTTTATAGCTCTTTCTGAGACCTTTAATGGCATATGCAACTATATTTCATAACATGGAGGTCATTAAGCCAGGGGGACAATGTGGCAATGAATCACAACAAGTAAAAAACAAGTCTGTTATCATGGTTATCTGTCCGATTGTTTCTGTCTCGAGTAAGAGAAGGGACAGAAGCTCACCTTTCCATTTCAGATTCTTTTGTTTGTTGTTTAAAGCCACACTCAGCAATACTCCAGCTGCATGAGGGTTGTCATTAAGAAATAGAGTCTGGACAAGACAATCCAGTGATTGACATCATGAGCATCGATCTACTCCACTGGGATAAGATGCATGCATCAACCAAGTCGGCAAGCCTGAACTCCCGATATTGTTGGTCACTTCTTAGGGTAAGCAATGGGTTGCTGAAGACCAATTGTAACCCAGATCTTCACGGGTCATCGCATTGATTGACCCAGTAATGCGGTGCCTTAAAGGGGCACTGATCTAAAGCAATTCCCCGGGACTGGTGGTTGCCTTTGTTATTGTTTTTTCCCCGTGAGTACCCGGATGATACGCAATGCAACTGAGCGTGACAAGAGACTGGGCTACCGTCTGCAAGGACAGCTGAATAAACTTGGAGGCAATATTTGTTTTACTCATTTTTGAACACTGATTGGTTAATTGTGCTCTATAAAGATTTCGACAAAGGGCGCATGATAATTAATTTCTTCAGCTTAAACAAACAGACAAAAAGAAGCTCATCGGATGTCGTCATTTGGAAATAGTTATATGATTGTTATAGTTTAATAATAAAAGAGTATCCATGCAGTGAAAGCATTTTCGGATTGCGTCGATAATATGATTACTACTCCCTTGTTGTCATCCACGTTTTCTGGTATAACCTTACACCTGTGTGTATTTGTCTTCATTCACTTGATGCTCAGTTAATGCATTTATTACAGGTATAATTAGTGGTAGCACTGCTCAGAATACCTGACAAAGGTTCCCATTTGGCATTTATTGTGTCTGGGGTAATTATTCAATCTAAATCCAGGTTTCAAGTGAGGTGAAATGTGTGTTATGTAATATGCATGTGGCAGTCCAGCAAGAGATGAATGATCAGTTGATTTATTTTTTTTGTAAATCAACGGATCGTTCCTAGTCATCAAATGATTAACAGAAAATACATTGATTGATTAATCATTGTTATCTTGCACAGTGGATATGTCAAAAGTGAGTGTCTACATGTCTAGGTTTACTAAAACAAAGGGAATACACTCATACCATGGCGTGAAGTGCCGATGTAAAAACAACATACTTTGTTCAAAGGGTTAACCGATAATATGTTGATTGATTGCTCATTGTTATCTTAACTTAATGGATTTTTTAAGGAACCGTGGACGTTATGAAAATAGTTGTCACGTGGGCTTTCTCAGCCGACCTTTGAGACATGACACCTATGTGAAACACCTGAAACAATTAAAGTGATCAGTTGAGAAACGAACACAGGTTATAATACCCCGAAACGATATTATTTAAAATATTTGATTGTCACAGAGACACGTGACATCGAAGAAGTTTCTTTGTAGGATTGTAGGATTAGAAGCCAAACAATATAGAAATGTACTTTTCATCGTAACATTTTCAGTCTCTTGGTGATGATATTAAACATAAAAATGTTTGGAATTCGTTATCATTATAATACAGATGGACATATTTTTAAGTCAATTTGTAAAATAACTGAATATTCAGGCTTTTAATAAATTTCCCAAGTGAAAATTTTGCACATTTTTACTGTAAAAAATATAAACACGATAAAATAAGCAATGCTCAGGAGAAATATTTACTTTGTGTTGCAAGTGAAAATAGTGTAAACGAAAATCGCACAATTACCAAGCAAGTGACCTATCAAAACTTCGTCACCATTACCGATGCTACCCACAAAGATACCTACATTTCCTTATTATTTCCAAAACTGTATTTCATTTTGTTGACCATCACCCTTATACTATCAATAAAAGTGACAAATGCGCTTACGAATTGCGCAGCACAGGTTGTGAACTAGTCTAGGTTTCTGCTATATCATCCGGGTACTCACGGGAAAAAACAATAACAAAGGCAACAACCAGTCCCGGGGAATTGCTTTAGATCAATGCCCCTTTAAGGGGATAATCATTATCCTCAAAATGGCTACCAGCATTTGTCAGGTAAAACAGAGTTATGAAAACCAATTTTTTCTGCAGATACCAGTGATAGAAATGGCACTATTCCCATAGTCCTTGCCAAACTGTCCAATAGTTAAGGTGTCATGAGGACTGGTAGAAATTTGCCATTTCAAGGGTTTTTCTATATGTTATCATAATAAAGACTACTTGACTAAAACTGTAAGTTTCTATCACTAGATACATGATATAAATGATTAAATACCATGGCTCAATATACATGATATAAGGAACTTGAGGTTAGTGGTCGTATGGTAATTAAATCTTTGAGGTATTGTGTCTTAATCATGTTAATTGTATTTCGTCTGTACAAAAAGGCCTGTGGCCTACAAGTACTGAATAAAGAGATGAAGTGTGGCGAGTGTTTTCAAGGATCGTTGTCGTGTTGACAACTCAAGTAACAGGAGTAAGGGTTAGGCTGACACGGATTGATTTATTTTTTACATATAAACATTACCTTGCACTTTTCAATTATAGGCTGCACTGGTGCATGTGTAATATAGCTAAATCAAGCTCTGAACATGCTGAATACACATGATGATCTGTTATCATGATCATCACTGATTTTTTTTCTTACTATTTATTTTTAGATTGAAGTTTTGTTGTTGACACTGTAGATACCGTATTTGCTGTATTAAGCAATCTTGGAGCTTAGAAAATTAACAAAAGTGGATGTTTATTCATACAAAATCACCACTCATAACAAGCTAACTTTGACATCAGAGATCAAGTGAGAGGGACAATGTTTAGTTCAAATATCAACGGATCAAAGAAACTGTGCATCATGAGCTATTTCCTGCATGAACATGCTGGCGGTAATGTTATCGATATGGGTTAAATCAGTCTTCCTGTTTACCGGTAATTAACAGTTTTTTACAGGTAAAAGGAGGCTTGGGCCAGTAATTCATGTGACTGCCAGTCCCTGTGGACCGGCAAATAAAGAACCTTATAAATCTTCGTTGTTGAACAAAACATTGGTGATATTCATATAAGTACATTTTTAGAACCAAGTCAGCTTGTCTGTTACCATCAGCAATCAGGGTTTCCCCTTGTCTATTTTTATTGCATAATAACATTTTGCAGTGCTTCAGGTTAAATATACATTTGAAGTGATTTCGTCTCGAAATGATAATAAGGAGAAAATTGTGATTGTTAGTTAGTGTGAATGATGTATAGATCTAATTAGGTTACTTCTGAGCATGCTGAGATGACGTCTTTGCACTGAACATTTTGTTGAAAGAATTAATACCAGGTAATTTTCATACATTTTTTTATTTGTTGAAAGTTGGGACTGGCAAAAATTAGTGGGGGGGACTGGTAATTATTAGAGCTGCCAGTCCACTAGACATATGCTAGAACTGGCAGCTCTAATAATTACCAGCCCCCCCCCTAATTTTTGCCAGTCCCAACGTTTCAAAAGCCAGCGGTAACACTGGAAGTGTCAGAACACAATGACTGTATGAATAATGCACCCAGACTCCTCGTTTGATAGTAGTTCTTCACCACTGTATTTCTGTAAGAACTGTAACATACACAGAGATTTATCTAGACCTGCTCAGAGGCCGATATTCAGCCCCAATTCTGAAGCAGACGACAGTAAAAAGTACTTGAAATAAAACTTTTCCATTTCTTCAGAATTTACGAATAAATGAAAAGTAATATTATCCAATTTTGATTAAACTCACACACTTTTTCCCCAATTTGCTTGCCAAGGTCACTTAGTTTGGAACCCTAGATTAATCTCTGCATGCACAAGAACATTTGGACTGTTATGATTTCTTTCGTGCTTGGTATGGGATGTGTATACCAAAGTTGGTACATGGACATGTTGGACTGTAATCAGTCTATGACTATAGCCAGTCATCCAAAGCCAAAGTCTAGGAAATTCTGTTTGGTCCAGTAAGCTCAGTCCATATAATACTACTAAAACCTTTGTAAAGTAGGTAGATCTAATGCTACTCAATTAGAGTAACCCAATCAATTTGGGCAGACTGGCAGTATGGCAAACACAGTACTGTAAGTTTCATGGTCAAGTAACACCAGTGACTGAGTGAGTATTGTTTGACGTCGCTTTTAGCAATATTCAAGCAATATCACGGCAGGGGACACCAGAAATGGGCTTCACACATTGTACCCATGGTGGGAATCAACTCGGGTCTTCAGCATGACGAGCGAACGCTTTCACCACTAGGCTATCCGACCGCCCTCAAGTTACATTAACAGTGGGGGCCACTTTGTTTCACTTGAGTACAAAATTAATGAAAACATGATAATTTTATTGTTAAGAGTAAACATAACAGAAACTCATTAAAAATACTTACACACGATACACACTGCAAACAGTCGCTGGGGAAGCTCAGGTACATCGCAATCAGGGAATATTGGTTGAAGAATATACAAACTGCATATCAAACTCAGTGCCGCAATACCAACTGGGCAAATCAACAGGAAGTTAATCCACAGACACACAAATGCTGGATAATCACCAAAGGCCCTTTTGATGTAAACATACTCCCCGCCAGACTGAGGCATCGCTGCACCCAACTCTGCATAACAGACCGCGCACAGGGTGTTGTAAACTCCACATATAGCCCACATTATCAAAGAAAATCCCACCGACTTAGTGTGCATAAGGATTCCAACAGGTGACACAAAAATACCGGAGCCAATGATTATACCGACGATGATCGCTACCCCCTGGAAGAGGGTGATTGTCTTTTTAAGTGCCACTTTCTCCGCCGGAGTATCGCCTCTTCCCGAACTCATCTTGAATTTATTTTGTATGAATGAAGAGTGAATATACGCGTGTGTAAGTCCAAGTTTCCTCGGGGCACAGCTTGATGAAGACTGTACGTCGATGTCCGTATGTTCGGCTTACAACTGCGCTGTTATGAGCCAGTGACTTTCATGCAGTGCGCCACGTGGTTTGCCGTTGTAACCAAGAAAGGATCGGTAACTGTTCTTCTACCCAAGCCCTGTGCTTCCCTAGGCGATTGACTGGTGTGCTTGATGCTTGTGTGACAACTGATTTGTTACGGTGTGTCAAGTCACGTCGGGCTACCACCAATTAGCTGCTATTGTTTTTCGCCTCACTAGCCTTCCCGCCTTGAACTCCAATCATAACAAACTCACAGAGTGGTCTCCCGTGTTACATCAAGGGAGCAGTTATTGTGATGGTTGTTAGGGACACGCCCACTTAATAAATTATAAATGTGCGGACAGACGATGATGCAATAGTCCCACAAACGTTTTTCTAGTTTAACGTGACCTTATTGTCAATGCATGACCCGGGCATAGGGATTCCAACTGTACAGTACTAAGCATTTGTAACAGCTCGAAATTCGCAAAAGGTATATGACAAATGGCGTGATAAGTAAATTACTACTATATAGAAGTCACCTATACCAAGGATATTCAGTGTTGAACGGACAAGTGGTTGACTAAACAGTATCATACAATAAATAGCAACAGTAGTACATGTATATAGGTATGTAATTTTAGCTTATGAATTTCATCAACATGTGATTTGTTTATATTTGTTGTTTAACGCCACACACATCAATATTTCATATCTATGACGGTGGCTTGCGTGCAATCGAGTCTTGACCAGACAAACAAGTGACTGATAATATAAGCAAAGATCGACGTCATTGGGATGCGATGAAACGTAACCGATTTATTTAATCGCCTCGTACGGCAAGCATAGCTAGGTTGTTTGGGGGAGAGTTGGGTTGGGTGTGGGTGTATTGGGGGTGGGGCCTTTTCTGACCCGAAAACCCACCTGTGTTAGATTTGAAAGGTGGTGTATTTTGTTTTGGTTCGGAGGGGCATCAAGTACAATGAAGTGACGTGATAGTTCGTGAGTTACGTGGACGCCACATTGAACAGTGTTTCCGTCATCATATCATGGCATGTCAGGTTAGTATGAAATATGTTGAAATACATATTTGAAAACTGGATTTTGACGGGACTTTAAGGACACGGCGTATGTGTATAACTGGGGTGAAACCCTTGAGCACGGGTATAGCGCAGAGACACGAAGGACCATGGTCAGAATGAATCTGGATAAGAACCATCGGGCAGCGGATCCTGACACGGCTTATTTTGAGGGGTGTTATGGGACAATGTGTGAACCCCGCGGGGATTCCTTGTGAAAATATACGTCCCATCTACATACGCTGGTCGTGAGAGGCTGGTAAGTGGATCGGGTGGTCAGGCTCGTGACTTGGTTGATTGTGTGTCATCGTACCCCGACGGGGTGGTGTGCTCGTAAAACAAATCAGTAGTTGATCTGATCCAGACTCGATTATTTCCGATTTTTTGTTGCCTTTATATTTCTGGAATAGTGTTGAGTGTAGCGCTAATATATAACAACGAACAAAAACGTCCAACTAATTATCCAACAAAACAATCCATGCCCCGTGGGAGAAGGCTCGGTAACTGCATGTGATAGCATCCTGTGTGGGTGAAGTATTTACAGACCACCGTCCTATAAAGTTGGAATATTGATGAATGAGAAGTTAAGCAAACAAAACGTGTAACGTCACTTGGCCGTGTTATAGAAAACATTTGTTTGGAATCACGTTTGAATTCATATTGCCGCTTGTTCACACTGGAGTTAGTGAATATTTTGCCATTTAAATCAAATTTCAGTAAAATCGACTGAACGTGCTTGCGTGCGTGCTTGCGTGCGTGCGTGCGTGCGTGCGTGCGTGCGTCCATGCGTGGGTGTGTTCATGGTGTACGCCTGTAGAACCCTTAAACCTGCAGTTGATTAAGTGTACTAAAATGAATGATTTGTTTATTTGTTTGTTGTTTAACGCTGCACTCAGCAATATACCAGCTATATGACGGCGGTCTGTAAATAATCGAGTCTGGACCAGACAATCCAGTGATTGACAGCATGAGCATCGATCCACGCAATTGGGATCGATGACATGTATCAACCAAGTCAGCGAGCCTCACGACCCGATCAGGCTCGCTGACTTGGTTGATACATGTCATCGATCACTAAAATGAATGAGTGGGCGGAGCTAAGGGGACCACGTGGGCTAAAGTGATGCAATTCTTAGTCAATTACAACCATGGTCGAAGCACGTGACAAGACCTTTGCGTGTCACGACTTTGGCCCCGTCGCGTTGCAATCTCTAATTTCATCACTGGTTATCATTAATGAACACATCAACCGTATATGTGGCAACCAGATATCAGCGACAGACGGTGTCAAGTATCAGAAACCGCCGTCTGGTCACGTATTGCAAACTCGTGATTATGGTCACTACATAGATTACATTAGTGTGGTATGTGATTACATAACATGTGTTAAACCACAATGTGTGTCATGTGTCTAAAGTGGCATTCACACGTTACAACTAGTTGCTGCTTTGATAAAGTTTGACCCTCACTCTATGAAGGTTCAAGCTCAAATGAACTCACACAAAATAAAAGTCAATATATATGTCATATCCCGTTGTGGATTATGAGTTTCATGACATGTGTTGTAACACGTGTACCGGGCTGTGTTTCACCTTACAAATGTTAAACCACTATGTAGGTTTCACATTTTCACATAAACTCTATTTTATACCACACGTGGATAATGTTTCACATAACAAACGTTAAACCGCGTTTTCTGTTGCGTCATAATATGTTATACCACATAGCCAATTATGTTGTATATAATGGGTTACATAAACTATAAACTATGTCTTGGGTTATATTTTTATTTATGTTTTACGTAACATGTTTTATCGTCCAAAACTGGCTCCCACAGGAGATATCGCTTGATCTCTCTACACTGTAGATATCGCTGCAATCAAACTGCATCACAATGCTTTGCAGACCATTGTGACGGCATTGGATACCATGACGTCACAATCAAATGACATCACTAATGGCTCTGCTACTGAAGCTGTGAGTAGTACTTTTTACACTTAAGACACTGCTAATTACTGTCTACAAACTGAAAAAGTTGGAAGAATGATGTTGGGTGATAAATAAAATCTCACCCTCGTGTTTTTTTATATCAAATATATCAACACTCGTTGATAAAAGTGGGAAAAATCCTCGGCGAGCCTCGGAGTTTTCCCACTTTTATCAACACGTGTTGATATATTTGATATCAAACGACACTCGGGTGAGATTCTCTATATACCACGTACAGGGTATGTTACAGACGTATGATGTTAGATAATGCCAGGGTTGAATATTCCAGCTTCACGTGGTGATCTGAAGCCAGGGCCAGGTTAACAGGTGGTTGACAGCATGATCATTGATAACACAGACTCAACCAAGACGCACACCCATTGTGACCTCCCAATCCTCATTAGGTTGCTCTTGCGATAGCCGTCCCTGGAAACGCTATGCATGTCTCTGAGAGCTCCACTAGGGAATCCCGGTTCGCCCCGATTATGTTTCTAGGTTTGTCAGCACCATACCCGTGCTCGTGGGTTTCACCGAAGTGGTAAACGTCTGAGTCCTACATCACTTCGGGCTTTCCTCCCACATTAAGCTGACACGCCGTTATATAACTGGAATACTGTTAAAAGCAGCGTTAAACCCGACTCACTCACTCACTCACTCCAATAGGGAAATGTTTGTCTCTTGGTATCTGTACATCTTCCCGAGGCAAGGGCATTAACTGATTACATAAGTCCAGTTTCCACCCTTGCCGAACAAAGCTGAAATTTCGTGGCTCGATCATAGCGCATCCAGTGGCTATTACGAGTTATTTTCCTTCTATTTCCCTCTATTGGCCAATCAGATTCCACCCCTCGCATCACTTGCATTTGCGTCAAATAAGATGGCGGCGCCCAAACAAGACGATCTGATCGACAATCAAGATCTATATTGTAATAAAACGGGTTTACCTCGCGAAGCGCATCACACCTTTTGAGCACCTTGATTAAAAGCATGAAGAGATTTGGAAAATAAATTATTCCACTAATCCACCGTGGGCATCAATCCATTCAATTGGGAAACGATCGCACCCATCAACCAAGTCAGCGAGCCTGACGACCCGATCCCGTTAGTCGCCTCTTACGACAAGCAAGGATTACTGAAGACCACTTCTAAAGTCACATTGTATGTCCCAGGGCCCCGTTCCACAAAACAATCTTAGCGCTAAGACGATCGCAAATCCCATACTTTAACATATACTTACAACAATCGTAGCGCTAAGATCGCTTTGTGGAATTGGGCCCAGGTGTTTATCATCATCTAACTTATCGAAATTAACAACAAACATTACAAGACGCAACATTGCATTACCTTCATTACAATAAAGAAAACAAATACACATTTGATGTGATTGCTAGGGGATTTGTTTGTTGATTCTAATATTGTAGGTGAGGTGAGGTGAGGTGAGGTGAAATTGGGTTTAACGTCGCGTCCAAGATTATTGCACTTATATCGCGACGTGCATGCACGTGTGTGTGTGGCTGCTTGTACTAGTCCGGACTGATGCCGATTTATAGTGCTAGCTCACTGAGATACCATGCCGCAGTTTAACATGAATACCCCACTCAGACACAGTATACTGACTCCGAGCCGACCATGCAGTCCTTGTTTTAGCCCCTTAATGCCGAGCGCCAGACAGGGTAACAACAAGTACAATCTTTTAACGCCTTTTTGTATGACGCGGCCCGGGATCGAACCCTGGACCTTCCGCTCTCCGGGCGGACGCTCTACCACAAGACCACGGAGGCGGTCCTAATATTGTAGGCAATTGTGTAACTGGTGAGCACCTGTATGGAAATGTAACCAATATAACCCTAGCCCGTTTTGTTAGATATGAACAGTTTGTTATACCGTATCTCCTCTATTATACGCCGAAAAGTAATTGACACCGGTTCGTACGTTCTGTCCAAAACATAGACGCCGGGGTATCAATAATGACCGTTTCCTGCAAATGTCCCCTTTGTATGGCTGTGCTTGGGATTCGGTAAGGGAAGAGGAAGAAAAAGAAGAAAATATTTTATTTGTGTCGCATGTGATATAGAGCTGTACATGCCAACACCATAAAACAAAAGATAAAAAAATAATAACCCGTGAAATCCGGGACAGAATAGGTCTTCAGGAACCCATGCTTGCCATAAAGGCGACTATGCGACTAGCGGGATCGGGTGGTCAGGCTCGCTGACTTGGTTGATGCATGTCATCGAT